AAAACTTTTAACCTAAGAAGAACTACCTGTTGTTATGTAAATCTGTTACCCCTGGCAACCGATCACTGTACCTATAAATGCCCATGTAAAACTTCACTCTTGGCCTTTTGTAATTGACGGAGAGATCCAAGGTCCCCTGAGTACCCACTTTGCCTATAATCTTTATAAATCCATAAAACTATATCTTCGTCTCTATATATTCTTTTATTTCCATTATTTTCCATTTTCTATTATTTTCTTATCCTTTACAATGACCCCTACCTAAGGACCCAATTTTTTACTGGGAGCGTGGCCTTCTCCCAACATTTCCTTGTTATTAAATTCACAGATAATAAAACTTTGCTGTGTGCATACTTTAAAAACATCAATATCATACCCTTAAGAGTATGAAAAAGAAAAATAAAAGGGAAATAATGTAATGAAATACTGTGTATTTCAATATTTAAGTGATTATAGTAGAAGGCCTAATGAGGTAGTTGGAGTCAGGTAGTTTACAACTACCTGTAATGAAAATTTTAGGTTGAGGCGATTAAGACAACATTTAGCTAAATACTGCCATCACTTCTTTTTGTATATTTGCCATTTTAAACTTTGGCTAAACAATATATACTTAGTGAACACATACATAGGCTCACCCCGCATGTGACAGCTACCAAATGCAGACTGGAAAAGTTGTGCTATTCTTGTGGTGCATACACCACACAAATGGCTAGTGAAGTAATTTTATGCAATAATAAACCTTTCTTGGTAAAGTCCTAGACAGAACAAAGTACAGTCTTTTCTCTATGTACACAATAACTGCATTCCTGACCATACAGATTATATATTAAAAGCATGCCAAAAATACCTTGTAAGAGAAAGATTCAAGATTTGGAACAATTCAATCCTTCTTTGTGACGTGTTATCCCAAACAAATGAGAATATCTAGCATTCCTAGTCCCTGATCCCTAAAAGCCAGTAGCACTTCCAATAATATGACAAACCGCAACCTCCCTCCCAAATTTCCCAACAAACCCTTTTGCCAGTGGTCTTTTCCCACAGTCACCCACAGTCATTTAGTGTCATTGTAAAAGTAATCACTAGGTGGCAGCATAGACCAAGGAATTAGGCATTCAAGAACAGCTGGGAACCAAGGTGAGGACTAAGGAGATTAAAGAAGAAGTAGGGCTGGAAATGAAGGAAGAGAGGGTCTCAACTTTATTTGTAATGTTTTACTTCCATCACTACAAAAAGATGAATCAAACATGACAAAAATACTAAAAATGAGTGTGAATAACAAAGCCATGGAAATTTTATTTTTCTCTATCTTTACATTTATTTTTTAAAGATAAGTCCCTTCCTTAAAGGATCTATCAACAGAAATATCTGGGCAGAATATTGCTAAACCATTAATCTTCTTCTATTCACAAAGAGATAATAAAAGTTGTGGCAGCTAAAGAATCAAGACTTCCACTAATGGTTGAAAACAGTCTTCTGTAAGAAGCTATAAATTCATAGAAAGGAAAAACAAACTGCCTGGGGGAGTCCAAGAAGATAACCCAGAGAAGGTGGCATTTAAGTTAGTCTTTAAGATTAGGCAGGAATAAATGAATGCATATTAAGAGGCAACAACAACAATAATGACAACTAACATTATTAAGCTTCATCGTTGACTATTATTTCACATATTTCATTAATCCAAGTTCATCTCACATTGCCACTCACCCTTAGGAAGAGTTTACTACACCAGTACTACTCCAAGCGTGGTCCGCCAAATGGTGGCCATTACCCTGATGAGAAACAAGGAAACACACAGACATTGAGGGAAATTATTTAGAAACATTTATAGCTATTTGACAGAGTAATTTTCTGTCTATTGACCCCCAACATTAAAAAATTTGGGCTTTTGTTTTATATGTCTTTTTATTTAATTTTTATTGTTATTTCACCAAAGGCTTCAATGGGTTGAAAACACACACACACTTGGTCCTTCCCCAACAAAATTTTGAGAAACACTGACCCCAAAGGACCAAAACAGCAACAGCCAAAAGGCATCAAAGACGTTAGTGAGAAGAGTGGGAAGAGCAAGCTCACATTTAATAGTTCCTACCTGAAAGTGTATTCATTAAATTTTGTTTCATCCTCTCAATAACCCAGTGGGATTGGTGGTATGATCTTAATTTTACAAAAGAAGACAGAAAATTCAGAGAAGATAATGAACTTGCCCAGATGGAGTCAGGAATCAAACTGAGGTCTATCAGAATTCTCAGTTTTTCTAAAATCTTCATGCTGGATTAATTGGCATATCAGTGCGCTTCCGTCTGCTACCAATAACACAGATCACAGCTTATTCTGGGACCAGATGCTCCAGGGCTCATGGTCAGGGACATGTCCTCCGAGTCGGTTCACCAATCTTTCCTTAAGTTAGGAAAAAGGCTCTTTTTATCCAGTGAAGCATGTGTGTCTCATATGTCAAAAGAAAGGTTAAAACAATAATAGCAAACCAGTTCCCATTTCCTGTTCTCTTTCTTTCTCTCTCTCACACACACACACACACACACACACACACACACAGATACACACACCCTTCACCTCAGGCACTAAACAAAACACAACAAAACAACCACCTTGCTTTTTTACTCTCACAAAAGCAGTAGCATCAAGTCTTTCCCTGAAGATTTTTTCTCCTTATGTTAAGGTGCTTTTTTTATCATAAACTTGTAACTTTTTGTTACTGAAATGGATCTTAGAAACTTTACATAATGTTATTTCATGTAAGCCATATGACATCTCTCTATAAAGCAAGAATTATTATTCCTGTTTTATTGACAGGAAATGGGGGTCCAGAGAAGTCACTAGCACAAGGTTGCAAAGTTAACAAATGACAGAATCAAGATAGAACTCTCGTTTAACTGAGAAGCCCACGAAAATTCTTGATATTTTCTACAATAATTGTGTGATTAAAATATGAGCAACAATCAGCTCTTAATCTCAGTAACTCTGGGACTTCTACTTCTGTTAAATGATTTTTGCACTTCATGCAGAATGAGGCTCTTAGAACCACATTCACCAGGAACTATGTCTCCCTCATTCTATATTTCTACCATGACCTATTGAAAAAGTTAAAAAACTTAGATAATTTCTTGTGACGAAAGAGCTTTTATTGTTGGATACACTAGAAAGTTGGACAACTATTCTCTTTCTGAAGTGTGGCTGAACAAGGCCTTGGGAATCTTCAGAACTAGGGTTCAAGGACTGCCTGTTTATTAGGCAGTCCTTTATTATTTCACCTTCCTATGCTTAAGCTTTCTCATTTGTAAGTTGAAATTAATACTGAACGCTCGGGGTTTTAAATTAAATAATATAAACAGGATGTTCAGCACCATATAAAGCACAGAATAAATGCTCAAATTGTTGCAAAATTTACGTTAATGCTAAGAAGTCAGTCTTGTATTATAGAATGTTAGAAAAGGCTAGCATAATCTTTAAAAATAAAAGCAACAACATCCTAGCTCTCTGGGAGGCCGAGGCGGGCGGATTGTTTGAGCTCAGGAGTTTGAAACCAGCCTGAGCAAGAGTGAGACCCCGTCTCTACTAAAAATAGAAAGAAATTAATTGGACAACTAAAAATATAGAGAAAAAATTAGCCGGGCATGGTGGCACATGCCTGTAGTCCCAGCTACCTGGGAGGCTGAGGCAGGAGGATCGCTTGAGCCCAGGAGTTTGAGGTTGCTGTGAGCTAGGATGACGCCATGGCACTCTAGCCCAGGCAACACAGTGAGACTCTGTCTCAAAAAAAAAATAAATAAATAAAAGTAACAACAATAAAATACGATAAGCCTGCAAGGTAATAGGCATAAATACTCTTGAATTCCAGAATCAGTACAAAATATACATAGAAGAGAAGCTAGTTATAATGTCTCTCTCATTTTCATTTTTATTCTGTAAACTTCTACTACATACCTGCAACTGAGGAATTGTATCTTTTGAGATAGTATTTTTTTTAAAAATAGCTTCACATTTACCAGTTTTAAGGGTGCAGACACTTGTGTATATGCAAAAATTGTCACAAGCTGCATAAAGTGTCAATACACAGATAGTGCTTTACTACCACAACATGAATACTGTAAGCAGTACTTGGCCTTCCTGCAGACCAGGCTCTGACTCCGCATGAGACAGAAAAACAGAACATTTATTTGGCATTAGTCAAAGTTCTTTCCACAATCTCTTACAGACAGACAATACTATTACACCCCCATTTTAAGAGGCAGTTTTTTAAGAACACAATTTTGAATCCAGAATGACCTGGCTTTGATTCTTACCTCTTCACGTATTACCTGCTTGCCTTGGACAAGTTACCTCACCTCTCTGAGCCCGCTTCCTGATGTGAAAAAAATACCCATTTTATGATTTGTTGTAATAATTTAAAAAGGTAACAACATATCTTAAATATCTTTAATGCAGCAGATGCCAACAAGTGATAGCCACAATTATATTTATTTCGTTAAGGGAGGATTAAGCACATTTAGGTAGGAAATTACAGGAGTGGAGCTGGATCGCAGGTCTGTTTGATTCCCAGGGCAGCGTTCTTTATTGATTACATCATAAAATAAATAGTGTCTTTGGTGAGAGGGGTTGAAATGAGGAAGAATGCCTAATTTCTGCATGCCCTGCAAGGACATGTACATCCTTCATTGTTCACTATTTGGCTATACTGCCATTATTTTTAGGCTCCGGCAATTTGGGGGTATAGAAAGTATAATAAAAACGCCTTCACACTTCTCTAGTAACCTCCAGGCTTGTCCCCACGATTCCCCAGCGTCAGCTTTTTGTGTAAAGAAGAGAGCACACCGAACTCAACCTCCACCGGCGCAGAACCCGCGCCCTGCCCAGATGTTTATATTTTCCTCCCTCGGCCCCGCCCCCGACCACGCGGGCTGTAGCCACGCCCCCAAGCTGAAGTTTTAGCGGCCGGACTCTCCTAGCTCATCAGCCTACCCACAGGGATTCCCTCTTCAGCCAATCATGTCAGAGCAACGGGACTGCCCCGAAAAAAGATGGCGGAGGAGGCCTCTGTGAGGGCAGACTGATTCGAGCACCCAAACCCGCGGCGGACAGCTGAGGCAGTGGTAGCGGCGCGGTCTGGATCATGGAGCAGGGCGGCAGCTCTGGCAGCGCTGGCAGCGACAGCAGTACCAGCGGGAGTGGCGGGGAGCAGCAAAGGGAGCTGGAGCGCATGGCTGAGGTCCTGGTCACAGGGGAGCAGCTACGGTAAGGCGAGGGGCAGAGCGGGTGGGTTCGCGGTGGCACTGCCAGCCCGTGCCCGCTGCAGTCCTGCGCGCACGCGCGTCGTGGCTCGTGGCTTGCTACTCGCGCGGGGCGCCCGGACGCCTGCGGGCGCGTGGATGGTCGTCGCTACGCCCGCGATTGGCAGCTGCAGCCCTGCGCCCTGAGGACTCGCGACTGGCGCGGGGCTGCCGGGGCGCACGCGGGCGAGCGGTGGTGCGCGCTGCGCCCTAGTCTGGCTGCTGCAGCCCTGCTTCTGCAGCACCCACCGCGCGCGCTCCCAGTTCCCGGATTCTTGGCGCTGTCGGGCCTCCCTGCTGGCAGCCCGCGCCTAGTCCGCCCAGAGAGCAAGAGCTGTCGGTGTGGGGCCCCAGGCAGACCCCAGATCTTCTACTCCTAGACAAAAGCAGAGAGCCCCACTGATCGCCTTCACTAGGTTTTCTTTTTCGCTGACAAGTCTTAATTCACTCCCGGAGCCTCATTTTTTCCATCTGGAAAATGGGGCTGATCACTGCGCCTCCCTTGGAGAGTTTTTGCGGGACTAAATTGAGAGAACATTTCTGAAGCCCCATACTGATCACCTAGTTGGCACATCGTCATCAATCATTTGGGTCCGCAAGGGGGCGTGGAGACACCTTGTCTGGCTGCCCTTATGCTGTGCCACCTCCCCAGTCGAGCACGTTTTGGGCAGCGGAGTCCATTGGCCCCTGGTTGCTGCAAGAATTAGGACTTGCCAAGTCTTCCTGAACCCAGGAACAAGCAATGACCCTGAGGGCCCCCCCTTGCCATTTCCATCTCTTCCTGATCCTTCTTCTTGTGCTTATGTTTGAGAATTGTACTTATGGTCTAACTGGTTCTGCAGCTGCCCTTCGTGTGGTCATAAATCTGTTTGGCAGGGGAAAAAAAAATTCAGCTCTGCAGCGTTTGAGCCACAACTTGCACGCGGGCCCCTGTTCCTTCTGGTTCTTGGCTTGAATTTCCCGGCTCATTTTGGTTTCTAAATGGCTGTATTACAGAACCTGAAGGAGAATCTTGCAAAGGTCCCTGAAGGAGACAAATGTTAGAAGTCAGAATTCATTGATTTTAATGCTACAAAAGGCAAATTATGCATATGTATTCTTTGTTGATTTTTTAAAATATGTATTCTTTGTCAAAATAAAGGGAATAAAAACTTGTTTTTCAAGAGTACTTTCTAATCAAAAATTAAAATAAACCTTTTCTAATTCGGTCTGAAATGCTTTTTTTAAGTTTAATTTCTTTGCTCTTCATTACTATATCTTTTTCCCCCTCAATACAAGGAGTTCTGTACATTACTATATCTTTTTTTCCTAAATTCTCCATTGGATAGGGTTACTTTCTTTTCATTTCTTTTAAAAATACTAAATTATGTGATGGCTCTTTTTGTCCAGCAAGCGCTTTTCCAAGATGCAGTTTATTTTCTTTTTTCCTTTTATTTTTATTAGTTTATTATTTTTATTTTATTTTATTTTATTTTTGAGAAAAAGTCTTGCTCTGTCGCCCTGGCTAGAGTGCCATGGCATCAGCCTAGCTCACAGCAACCTCAAACTCAGACAGAAAAACAGAACATTTATTTGGCATTAGTCAAAGTTCTTTCCATAATCTCTTACAGACAGACAATACCATTACACCCCCATTTTAAGAGGCAGTTTTTTAAGAACACAACTTTGAATCCAGAATGACCTGG